ATTGCTACCAGTGCAAATTAGCAGTCTTCAAGTTAGCCATAGAGACCTTGAGGATGACTTTCCATATGGAAACTTAATTGTGTACAAACCATTCATCTGCAAAGCTTGAAGTGTCTGTGGAACAGGGACAAACTTCTGGCTTGCTTCCCATAGCAGAGAAAGATTAAATAAAGCTGCCCTTATTCTGCAGGTAGCAGCTTGCTATTTTGCATAGGTCATTACTGTGTTGGAACCGTAGGAAGCTTTAAACAAAACAACAATGGAACAATTATTAAGGGCTAACTAGATGGCCATTACTAAGAATGAAGAAAGTGCCATTAGTAACAGGAATTCAGTGAACTCAGTAGGATCACTAAAAGGGAAGGAGGAGAATGATGCTTCCCCCTTTTTTCTAACAGCCTTAACTGTGATTAGCTGTGTTAATTGTGTGGGTAAGTCCATGTGTGAATCAGAAAATGCATGCTTATGCAAATCTCTTACTCTGGATTTGAATCCTCAACTAATATGGATCTCAGCAGCAAGAATAGAAAGATACAGAGCAACTAACTAGCCTGCTTATCTGACACTATATCATTCTGCCTCCCCATCAAGGGAAAAAAAGGCACCATTTCTGATCAAAAGTGTGGTCGGTTACGATACATACATTTGCAATACTATCTAGTAAATGTGTGTTTGTGTGTATAATTCACTGCAGGATGAAGGCATCTTCATTGAAGGTTACAGACAGTAATCGACCATGCTAGTCCAGCATATGTCCAGCTGTTTTTCGATCCAGTTTACATGCCATAGACAGACAGACCTCTGCTATGCCATTTAAGGTCTTGGGCAAAGCAAATTCTTTGGAGGATCTCTTTGGTTCATTTTAACCTGAACAATAGATTTGCCTCATGTGAAGGCAAATTGACCAAGATCTGAAGTATTGTGTTCTATCAATATGTACCTTAGACCTCAAACCTTAGCAGAATTCAAGCTGAGGGTCTGGGACTTAGATATTCAATTTAATAGGCCAAAATTTTCCATTTTTATTATGGTAGAATTGCTTTCTAGCTATTTTTTTTTTTAAATTGTGTATGCTCCACATAGGAGGTTTCTTCTCCTGGCCCAAAACAATGCACTACCCATCAGGGCAACAAATGGAAGACATTTCAATGTCCCATAAAAAAATTGTATTTGTATATGTTCAAATTCAGAGATTGAATCTATATCTCATGTTCTTTTAAAGTGTCCACTTTACACACAATGGTGATCAGAACTCATAACTCCAGCTGTTAGAAAAGTTAATTTCCCTCATGACAAGGAGATCATTATTTCCTTTTAAGTGACCAATTTTTAGATGATCAAGGGTTGTGGGAAAATTTTTATCTGTAGCTTTAGCTTATAGAAATTGACTGGTATCTTCCCCACAGTTTTGACTGTTTTTTACTTTTATTTTAAAAAATCCCCTCTCACATGGTATGTGTCTTCTCAATCTCAGGCCCTCTATGGGACTCTATGGGACTTTGAGGATCCTGCACAGTATCTTAGCTGTTCCTAGCACTGCACTTTTATGGACAGAGAGCTCTGATATTGTTCCTGGGATCAGTTGGAGCCACTCTCTTAGCTTAGGAGTCACAGCCCCAAGTAGTCCTACCACCACTGGGACCATTTTGGCCTTTACTTTCCACATCCTCCCTAGTTCCTCCTTCAGGCCGTAGTACTTCTCCAGCTTCTCATAATCCTTCCTGATGTTGCTGTCACTTGGCATTGCTACATCTATCACCACTGCTGTTTTCTGGTCCTTGTCTATTACCACGATGTCTGGTTGATTGGCCAGTACCTGCCTGTCCATCTAGATCTGGAAGACCCACAGGATCTTAGCCCAATAATTTTCCATGACCTTCTGTGGAATCTCCCATCTAGACCCATCTAGGGTCTAGCCCATACACTGTG